TTTTAATTCTCTCATTCTCTCTCTCTCACTCCCTCTGTCTCTGTCTCTCTTTCTAAATGTCACTCAGCCCTTCCTTTCCTGTAGTTGTGTTCCACTTGTCCACTCCAGCCGCTTAGAAGAGCTAATAGCTGGCCTGACAGCAGTCGTTCAATACACAGCACAATTACTGCCTGGCCCACATACGGCACAGCCATCACACCAAGCAATCAAACCCCACTCTCGCTTTCTCCATTGCTCTCTGCTGTCCTGTCACTCTCCAACTATCAGGGTGGCTTCGTTTCTGACCCCTCTCTAGATTTACCCCCTCCTCCCCTCCCCAGCCACATTGTCATCCATCTCTCGTCATTTTCCTTTTACTTTCACCCTCCCTCATTCATCTCCATGCTCCCATCTTTCTGTCTCTCCATCCTTGAAGTACCTACTTCACCATTTCACCCTTTCCTCTCTCATCTCCTGCCACTTAGTTCAGATGAAGGTGTCAGGTCAGAAGTAATCAATGAGAGATGTGTCCAAGCTGAGCGGCACTGAGTCAAAGTGAGTGCATGTGTGTGCATCAGTGTGTTTGCTTGTTTGTGTATATGTGTGTGAATGCTCTGGTGAGAGCGTGAAGCAAATGCACAATTTCATGTTTTGCATTTTCTGTTTCTCTCTGCATTTCTGTGTGTTTTTGTGCAAATAAAAGCAAACTGCTTGTTGATGGATATGTGTGTGTGTGTGTGTGTGTGTGTGTGTGCGTGATGTGTGTGTGTGTGTGTGTGTGTGTGTGTGTGTGTGTGTGTGTGTGTGTGTGTGTGTGTGTGTGTGTGAGAGAGAGAGAGAGAGAGAGAGAGAGAGGTAGTCGGTCAGTCAGCATTCTCAATCAATACCATAATCACTCCTTCCCCCTGTGGACACTCAAAGCTTCACTCAGGACCAAGTTCAGTTGTTTGTTCTGTGTGTCTTTCATCACCTGTCAACCGGGCCACAAGTCACGATTAATGCTATCTCTGCCAGATGGAGCTATATGAGACTAGCATGACAAACAGTCTGTGGGAAATATGTGTATGAGTGTGTGTGTGTGTGTGTGCGCCTGCCCCATGAATGAATGACCTCAAACTAGTAGTTTTGTGTCCATTCCTCTGTACCGCTGTAGAGACTTCTTTTGTACATATGACCCGCCCTCCTTAATTACATTGAAAATGACTCATCCTCGTTAATGATGTTTGACGTCTCTTGAGCAAAGAAATTAGCCAAAGCGGGGGGCGGAGAATTTGGGAGGGTGAAGGAGGGCGAAGGCAGGGAGGGAAAGATAGGCATAGAGGGTAGCAAAGACAGACAGAGGCAGAGAGGAGGGTGAAGAATAAAATTCTTCAAGGTTGGAGGGCTCCAGAGAAGTACAGAGGATAAATCAAGCGTGAATTTAAAGGTGCAAGGGGTGAGATTTTTAGAAAAAGCAAAAAAAAAAGAAAAAGTCTCTCATAGGTGTAGTCTACTTTTTCTTCTTTTTCTTCTTCCTCTTCATTATTATTCAGTGATTTCATCCTGCACCTATACTCATACTCATACTCATAAATAAACCACAAAAATCTGATCAAGATATTTTAATAGGACAGAGGACATGGCTACATTCATTCAACTTCTCTCACAAGAGTTGTTTTGTTCAAAAAGTCAAGGTGACCATTTTATTTTCAAAAAGATTGTTGGAATGTTTCATTTTGTCGTCTCTGGTAACTGTGCTCTCCAATCCTACTGGCATTAAATAAAAAAAACCTCAAGCATGGCAGAATATATTGAATAGAATGAGGTTGGAAAATTCCCAATTATTACCATTAAAGGCTCCCTGTGGAGTTTTAGACCTCTCATCAAACATGTCATTTTACACTTTGAAAGGAGGCCATATTTCATAATAAATACTTTTATGTTTAATACTTTCAGTACGTTGTGCTGGTTATGTTTATGTACTTCTACTGTAATGGGGTGTTTTTACGCTGTGGTGTTGCTACTTTTACTTAAGTAATGGATCTGAGTACTTCACCCACCACTGCTCTCAAGCAGTGACAAGCTAATGTTCCTGTGGAGTTGTATTTTACAAGGTAAAGCATTGGCAAACATTAGTTTCCTTTAACATTTCCATCTATGGTGAGGAATGCAAAATAGTTGGTTTGGTGTCATGTTTATTGCTTCAGCACGGCTCTCTGCTCTTCTCCATTTCGAGTAAGTGAGGAGAAAAGGGTTTCATAGTTTGCATATATGAGTCACACAGACAGTGCATTCATACTCCCCAGAGCAGTAGGCATAGTGTGGTGCACTTAAACGCTGAATTTTTTTATTTAAAATTAGTGATCAAATATGGAATTTTTCCAATTTTCAAATGGTAGCTTGAATTAAAAAAATTTCCATTATTCTAAATGTAATTTGACCTCTTCACAAGTACTTTTTGGACGATTTGTTCTAACCAGCTTACTATGCTGTAAAATGCAACTTTATTATTTGACTTTGTCAAGGTTCAAAGTAGGTGCTGATAAAAGTCACTATAACTTTTTCCACTTTTATTGTCAAAAGAGGAGCCCAGTAAAGGCAGTGACAGGAGCAATAAAAGTAATGATGGCAGTTGAGCAGGAGAAAAGAAGAAAGTGGTGCAGTGAAAGGAAAAGATGAGGCGAGAGATGGGACATGAAATCTGAAGTTCAGTGAAGGGTACTCTCTGAGGTAAAACAAAAACTTCAGTGGAACAAAAAAAGTATTTCCCCAGAGGAGAACCAGCAGCTTAGAGAGAGAGAGAGAGAGAGAAGTAAAAGCATGATGATTTTAAATTCTTCAGCGCATTTATTTATGGAGCAGTTCAATCAAACCCTGGAGAGTTTACCCTGAAAGTTTAAATTGTTAGGGGAGCAGAACCCATCAGTGAGACTCAGATGTGCTCTAAACCAGCGCTCCTTGGTCAGCCTTGGGGAGAAGTGGAAATAGCCTGATTCTTACTAACGCCTGAGGTGGTTAAATTAGAGCTGGGAGTGTCAGTTGGACCAAAGAGGGAAAAAGCAGGAAGCTTTGTGTTGACTGAAGCAGATTGGCTCTGTCCTGTTGCATTTTTTATCTCATATTCAGATTAGATCTGTTCTCGCTTTGGAGTGAAATACTCTATCAGTTTAAAGCCAGTACTTAGCGCAAGTAGAGAAGAGTCACAAAGACAATCAAACTAATTCAGTTTTATACAACAATACCTATCTTTAGTTGGTAAACAGTAACTATTATAAGCCTCCATAAGCTTCCAGTCATGTGAGACCATTTGAGGTGTAGCAGCAAAATTTATCGATCTAGTATTATTGCTTGTTCAACTTTTCATTTGTAAGAAGAAGAATGTGTTATTTCTCCTTTCAAAAATTACAAACTTTTTTTTTGTTGTTACAGTTGAACTCAAATCTGAATTCTCGTCACTTTTTGTGCCAGGAAATATAAACTATAATGATACTGCAGCATAATTCTTTCCACTTTTCAGAAGCGGGTAAAAACATTTTTTTGACATTGTAATTTGAAACAAGCCTCTGGGTCGGTGTTTCTCAAGGCAGCAGTTGACTGAAATTTACAAACTGAAAGCTCCACTGTAACTAATTGGCCTTGGTTGCTGTCATTAGTTCTGATTTCCACTCGACATCACTTTTAGTATGTTTTTTTCAACGCCTGCTGAGTCTTTGCACACTCCATGTTGTCTTTCTTTCGTGGATCCAGTGGTGTTGAGTATTTCTGTGAGTTCAGCTCTGTGATCTCTGTGTGTTGCCCCTTGATTCAAATCACTGAGTCAAATCACAGCTGGGATAATACACAGCTAAGAGTGTCCGGTGGTTAACTGCCTGCATGTCCATTGGAATGTAACCCACTCATAGATACTGTACCAAATCAAATACAGTGCTGACATTATCTGTCAAAAACCCACTAAGGCAGGGATTTTCTTATTTTGGTAATTACAATTTGAACAGTAAGTACAAAGCACTAAGGATATAAATAAAATAAAAAAATGATTTTAATTTGAGTTTGACTCACTGAATCTGACAGCTTCACCTACAGTGATCATCAGTCTGTTCTGTAGCAGTTCATGACTGAACCTATGAGTGCATGAGTGCAGAAGTGATTGGATCTGAAATTGTGCAGATGTGCAGCCTGACAGTCCCATGCATCCTAACAGCTGTGAATTCAGCTTCAATCAATACACACATGGTAGCTGTCCCGCACCGCCTGTTTTTGCAGCCTGCAACAGTCCGGGTTGTTAATTACAATTCCACACCACATGCAGTCACTAGATTCGGTCTATAATGGTCTTATTTCCATGCCAGGGCAGGATTGTTTGCCTCTAATGTTTCGGTTCCTCATCGGGGCCTGAAGGGAACCCAGGGCAGAGTTGGGAGTTTGACGTGACTCGGCAAGGAGAGCCCAAGGATAGTACAGGACTGCTGTCCCCGTAGTCATTAGCCTGCCTCTACCCCCATACACACTCATCATCCAAATCTTTTTCACAGGGGCCTCTCTCTTTCTCTCTGTTGTCTTCGCCCTATCTCCACATGCTAGATAAATGCTGTCCTCTGCTACCTCTTTGTCTCTGTCTCTCTCCTTTCCTTTCTCCCTCACCCCTGTCCGACCCTTACAGTATGTCTCATTGATGACTGATGGTCCTGCTCCATCCCCACGCCCAGTCAGCTCTAATAAAAAGAATAAACTCATATTACATTCATACCTATGGGACTTCACTCTCCAGAGAACAAGAGAGTGAGCAGGCAGTAGGTGGACGAGTGAGGGCAGAGACGGTGAAGGGTAAGAGCTGAAGAAACACAGTAGTAAATGAATCGAGATGACAACAGTGGGATAGGAGTGGAAAGACGGAACAGCACAAGAGAGGAATAGCATGAGAAAAAGTGATGAGGACAATATAGAGCTTCTCTATAAACTCTTTGCCAGAAAGCCAAATGTTCCTTTAGGAGAAAACTTGTCACTGTCTTTACTCACACTGTCTCTGTGTCTCTTTTGTCTAGTGTGAAGATGGTGTTGCTGTGGACGGCAGGTGACGTCTTCAAGACCACCTACTTTGTGATGAACGAAAGTCCGGCTCAGTTCTGGGTATGCGGTTCAGTCCAGATCCTGATTGACGTGGCCATCCTGCTCCAGGTGTTGTTGTACAGCCAAGACACACGGGTCAAGCTGGGCTGAACCCGGCTGCTTCCACAGGCTTTTTAATAAACCCCCCTGCAATGGTGACAAATTGTCACAGGAGATGCTAAGTGCCAAAACATGGAGAAAACCAAAGTCAGTGTAGATTTTTTCAGCTTAGAATCAAAACATTTTGTGTTGTATATGTATCATGCAGACCAAATGATTTACCTCCAAGTGCCATCAAACCAATTTTAGCCTTTTTTTAGATTTTTAGCATTGTGCTGCTGTATTGGCAGCTGTAACAGCCAGTCCTGCATCGGTCGCTCTGCACTGGAATCTACTGCCAGACTGATGAGTCTCCCACTTCACACTCCACACCTCACTCACTTGTTCTCATGATACATATTGTGTGTTAGCCTGGCATCGCAAGCTCGCTTGGTCTGGTTTGCAAGCTAAGTGTGTGTGTGTGTGTGTGTATGTGCACTTGTCTGTGCATGCTTGTGTGTGTGTGTGTGTGTGTGTGTGGAAGTGGGGTGGGGTGGGGGTGGGGGGGGGTTGGCATACTTACTGGTGCGACTGTACCTGAAATTGATTTTTGCTGTTGGCATCCGGTGCCCAGCAAAGGCCACAGAATGTAAGCAAGCAATTGTGACTACACAGGCCATCGATCTGTGTGTTATGACTCTGCTTTGTGGTTTGACTGACAAGCGATGCAGGTCTGCTACACACTTAACAAAGAACAGTGACAATATGTTGGCATGCCACCACGCTGTGCACTTTACCTCACTCACAAAATCCTTTGTGTGCACCAAAGAACATGTCAGATTAACTTGACAGGTCAAACTAACAGACAGGTCAAACTAAATTGAGTTATTCATAATATGATAATGTTAGTAAATATTTTAAATATTTTTTATTCCTGTGCAAGAAATACATTATTTGAAAATGTATGAATGAAATGGCCCATTTATTTTTGAATTGTATCAAAAAGAAAATTGGTTTAGTGACTAAAGAAATTACTTTTAGGGAATGTATGAGAACCGCTGTGGGGAGGGGAGCCCTCTCCTCTTCTTATCTAATAAAGACTCAGAAAAATAAAGAATAAAATAAATTCAGCAGTGGCAGAACACCACTGTTAGGGGGCTCAGAGGGTCCTGAGGTGATAATAATACAATATTAAATAATACTGTAATAGAAAAAAATAATAAAATGTTAATAATTATCAATTTGATCAGATAATATTGTAACTTCTGTATAAGGTCAGTAGTGTCTGATTGTATGTCTAAGCCCATAATCCCAATGTAGCTATTTATGTAATTATTATTTGTTTCATGGGAAGGTCAAAATAGAATATAAATCCAGAGTGAAGAAAAGGCCAGAGTCTGCTCACTACCCTTTTAATCTTAAAATACTCTCCCCTTTTCTTACACCCCTTATGCCCAAATAATTTTCATGCAGTCCCTTAGATTGGAATATTTAGTTTCTCCCTCATAGTGTGTTAAGTAACTTCAAGAGCTTCGATCAGAAGTAGTAATGAAACTTTGAAGTGTCCTTATTCACCCAGAAACGTCCCTTTAAACAAAGGACAGTTTGTGTAATGCAGTGTGCTAATGTTTTATGTTTAGTTCCTTCATGCTATTGCATGTAAAAGCTTCGGTGAGCTGTCGTTTATAGCGGTCCCAGCTGAGCTGTGGAGAGAACGAGGTTATAAACTGTAATGATGACTCAAGCAAGGTCATTTGCTCACATCATCTTATTGGCCTACCTCCCGGCTCATTTTGTTATCTGCCGTGTGTTCACATAGGTCACTTTAACTCATCCTGATTGCAGATGGTGAATTTCTCTTTGTAATAGGTTCCGGATAAACATTACAGCCACAACAGACACACTGAAACCTTATTCATCCATTCCAACCTTCCAAAATGCAAAAAAGGTTTTGTTTGTTATCAAAACACTAATTTAACAATGTGGCCTGTAGATTTTTGACTTTTTTTTGCCTGTTTCTCAATAGCTTCCTCTTAAAAAAGTAGGATAAAATAAATCAGTCCCAGCAGCTGATCAGTAGTCAGCACAGGTTTCTTTTTACCCTCCCCTTGGCGTGATTTAATTAAGTAATAAAGCTACCTCCTCATTAAGTCTTTCAGTCACCTTTTTAACTCACCAGTTTGTGTCCATCTGTTAATCTGTACCTGTCTGTGTAGTTTCTCCTCAGTAAACATCATGTTTAAATTACACACTGCAGTGGTTATGGTTTGCATCATGCAGACAAACTGTACTGTGTGTGTATAACAGTATGCCTCGGCCTTAGGACTACATCTGTAAAGAATAGGGCATTGCAGATGTATTTTAGTGATGTCCTCAGGGTCATAAAGTTGACCTGAGTTTTAATAATCTGAAAAACATAGAATTATTCCAAGAGTGGACAATGCACAAGATCCTCGAACAGTGACTGAGTATCTCGTCAAGTGGTGCCTTTGCTTTAATATTCATCAGGTTTTTTGAGGATGTGATTGTCACTGAATGTATTAAAGCCATAGTTCGACATTTTGGGAAATACTTGCTTTCTTGCCATGAGTTGGATGACAGGATTGATACCATTCTCATGTCTCTTCAGTTAATATGAACCTACAGCCAGGAGCCGCTTAGCTTAGCTTAGTTCACCATACAGACTAGGAAAACGTAAATTATCTAGCCCGTCTCTTGTGTTGTGTTGTGTTGCCTGTTTCGATTAAAAAAACATATAAAACGACTACTTGCCATTTTACAGGAGGTTATGTGGCAGACTGTTTCTTGGCCTGGTCCAGTTAAAATCCCAATGTGTTATTTTTACACACTGGGATCAAACAAACTAGATATAGGACATGTTAATTAGTGAGCTTTATAGGTGCTGCTTGGGGGATTTTGTTAACATTGGACAGAGCAGGATTCTCCGCTGTTGCCAGGCTTTATGCTAAAATAAGCTAATAGACTCCTCGCTGTAGCTTCACATCTACCATACAGACAATAGAGTGGTAGAGATCTCCTCAAAGTCATCAAACTATTCTTTTAAGGTTAATCATTTTATTTCAAGTTTTGTTATTGAGGCATTATAAGGTCACAAGCCAAAGAAGACGCGAACATAGTCTAAAAGGAGAAGCACTCCCTTCTGTTTTTATATACCCGCGTTCATGTATGTTATCTGTATATTAAAACAACAAACCTTACTAACAGGGAATGTTGTGAGTCTTGAGAGAATGTGTCAAATGGAAGCTTTAGGACTTCACTGAACCACATTATGTATGAGTCTATGCATCTATAATGCTTCTTTGCTGGTGCTGTAATACATGTCAAATATTTTTGCGATCACTTCAAATGTTACTTCATGTAGGTGTGAGTGTGTGTGCGTGTGTGTGTATGTGCTAAGGCTCTGTGTATACTTGCATTCTTCCAGTTCCAGTTATCTTATATTACATTTGTTACCCATATTGTGAGCTGTGTGGGTCTTATCTGCTCTGCCCTGCATACCACAGTTGCATCGCAACTGCATTATTTCTGTATTCTATATGCTCTTATCCCCAGATCCTGATGTATATCTTTATATTGTTTTCCTATTCAGTAGAGGCTCAGCATAGCACCCTCGCTGGATTTGGTTTAACATTTGGGCTCCATGTGGCCTGTTCTTCTCAAGGGCAGCAGGACAGATTTACACACACACACACAGACACACACACACATACACACACACATACACACAAACTGCCTGATTGTCATAATCCCTCAACCAAGTTCACATTACATACTTATTGCCTCACCACTACAACATGATAAGAAGTAGATGGTTTGTCATTTCTGAGAAGGGAGAGGGTTGGACTGTTACTTCTACCAGATCCAAGATGTGTAAGATATACAGTATAAAACAGAAGCATTATGAGGATTTGTGTGAATTTTAGTTACTGTATTAATGGTTGCTGATGTTTCTTCAGGTAATACATTTTCAGGATCTGTAAAACCAAACATACAACCGAAAGTAAATGTTCTCTTTAAAGTATTTTAAAGTGTGCCAAAACAACTGCTCATGTAACGCCATGTGATGGCAACATGATGGTTACCAGAATATGTAAACGCACATAAATAACATCACATATGCTAAAAAAAAAAAAATTGAAAAATGTCAGTGTCCAAATAGTTTTTACCGTCATACTGTATGTATGTGAAATATTTATCATGTTATTTTCTCAAATATAAACTATTTATATGACGACATGTGGCCTCATGTTGTTACTAGCGGCATGTTTTGAAATGAATGGATGTTCTTACAGCATGTTTGGGGAAAATGTTTGACATTGATATTAGAAGAAGAAGGAAGAAAAACATAAAATGTGATCTGATATGAGCCCAGCAGGCTGCTGCTGTAACCTCTTCCTTAGACAGGAATTCTACACAAAATCTGTACTGGAACCTCATGGGAGCCCACTGAGTTGAGCCAGCTCACCCAGGAATATCAGACCTGAATCACTCACTGATAAGAAATATGCTTTTATACACTTGCATAGAAATCCTTTCTATGCACCAGTTCCCACTGCAGCTACCATACAAAAGCCATGATTTAGAGTGTGTGTCTGTTGTCCTGGGTAAACCTTGTGTTCTTCTATTTGAAATGATCGAGAGAGCATACCTGTGCACCAAATAAATCACGAAGGAGCTGAACTCGGACTGTGCCTGCTGCTGGATACATAACAGAGAGAGAGAGAGATGAGTGGGGGTTAATGAAGCTGTGTATACCTTCAAGACTGTAATCCCCCCCGGCTAATGCATCATCACAGATGCACACAAGCATCACGAGGTTAGACCACAGTCAGTCAGCAGTGCAGAGGAGCACTGCGGTATGGATAGTAAAATATTAAATTGGATACAGTAGATAATGGGAGGCTCTCTATGGTTAATAGATGAGTTCACAGACTGTGTGCTGCACCTGTTGGTGCCTTTACTCTATTCATCTCCTGACCTGCCTTGTACATCCATTAATAATAAGCTCACTACAAGACCAGCTGGAGCCTCTCTGTGTTCCTGGTGGTAATTTGACATACCTGTACGTCATATGTCATCCAGTCTGCCTGATTATTATCACTCCTCTGTTCAGCCAACAATGACATAGCCAATGATATATTCAAGACATTTCACTGTATATCTTGTTAATAATGGACTCGTCTGGCTGCCCACCATCGTCTGTCTTCCTGTCTGTCTGTCCACACATCCATCAGCTGATCCTTTGAAATTGTCTGTCTATACAGTGGCTTGTTTTAATGATAGATGAAGTAAGCTAAAATAGTTCACCGGTACTCCACATCTGTGACGTGCTGCACTAAACCTGTCCTGTTCCATTTATTAATGATAGTGTGTCGTCATGCTGTAATAGACAGGAATGTGCACTTTACATCCCCATCAACTGTTCCAGACTTTAATTCATAAGTGTAGCAATTTTAGGCAACGCCAGACTTGTGTGCCATCCAGGAATATTCTGTGCAGATCAGAAAAACG